CGCTCCGTCTGCCGCTTTAAGCCGTGGCTTTTGATATTCGTGATTGGTTTCATAATCCCGATCAAAAGGAAATCACCAGGATTATGAAATTGTTTTAATCCTCCCCCCTCCAGCCACACTGGCCCCCACCAGCATGAGCAGCAAGAAATCACTTTTATCTCCTTAAAACATCCCCCAACCACCCCAGTGGCCCCAGCGCCCCCATCAGGGCCAAAACTGAGCCCGAGGGTTTCCTTCCCCATGGGGCCTGGCTGTGCCCACAGCAGGCATTGGGGCTGACCAGCAGAGGGGATGACCCCTCGGCTCCAGGGGGCACAGACCAAGCATCTTTCCCCAGCTGCTCCCAGGCAGGAGGGAACCGCTGGCAGGTTTGGGTGGAAGAGCCCAGGGCAGAGAGATCCTCCTCACCCCGTGACCCAGCCCTGGGGTCCGACCTCCCCTGCGATGCTGGGACCCATCCTTACCTCCACGCGGTCCTGGGGAGGGGTCCTGGCTCCTCTGCCTGGGGAAAATGCACCTGGGGGATGTTGTCCCCACCAAGCTGGGGACCGAGCGCCCGGTGAGGTGCCAAAGCAAGGGCAGCCGGGCAGGGAGCCGCAGGCAGGGAGCGCCCGGGGATTAAACCTCGGGGAAGCAGCTGGCATGAGCAGCAACAGGCTTAGAGCGATTTCAAGGCGCTGGGCTCTCTTCTGGAGGAAGATTGATTGCAAGAGATGATGAAGAGATTTAGGAGAGCAAAATGAAAGCACAGACCCCAGACAACCCAGAGTTGGGCTGCTCAGGCTCTGGTCGCCCACTGTGTGGGCAGGAGATGACACCTTGGACCAGAGACAAGCTGGAGAGAGGCAACCAAGGCCCCCAGAAGGACCAAGAGCCTTTTGCTGGTACAGCACGGTCTGTGCAGGTGGTTTCCTCCAGCATCACCCCCTGCGCGTTGGGTTTGAGCCCCAGGGAACCTTCCCACGAACCCCAGGCAGGTTGGGAAACCCTCTTGCCCACCTCCTTCCCTCCAAGCACCTCCACCTCCTCCCAGGACACAGATGTCCCCCACCTCTGGCCACCAGTGACAGCTCATGGCTCCCAAGGGTGCAAGAGCAGCGTGTTTTTTACAGATGGGTGGAAGCTAACGCTTCGTGGGCGGATGCAGCACCGGGGGTGGGACGTAGGAAGAAAGACACACAGACCGGGGACAAAAGAGCCATCAGATCATTGGAAAACAAAGAGCTTGTAATAATGAAAAAAGGACAGATTTCGTAACCAATCACTTTTTCCTTTGAAAAACACAATCACAGTAACTTTGCTTTATACAACCACCTAGAAACTATGAAACAGTATCACATTGTGCATTTTTTTTTTTTTTAAACCTACTTATCAAGAAGGGTATTCCACACTTCAAAAATTATATCCATTTGGGGGAGGAAAGAGGAGACAGCTAATAGCGCGGTCACAGATACATCATGAGTCCAAGCAAGCGGCAATTCTTTGTCCTCACCTTTTCCACTTAGCCAAAAAAGAAGAGTGGAGAAGGGGATAGCAAAAGAGAAAGGAGGAGGAAAGAAAGCAAGCACCCACAGAGGACTAATCACACTCCATAATTACTTTTGACATCTACAGGGCTTCATAGAAAGATCATTTAGACCAACACAGTGGGGAGGGGAGAGGAAGGCGGCAGCAGGACCCAGGGGGAAACCTTGGCGCTTCCACCCCGAGCCCCCTCCAAATGCCGATCCTTCACCGGGAGGACCTATGGGACGGGGAGGGCGTCACAACTTCTACCAGGCTGCCCAATTTCTCCTCTGGAGCAAAGAGTTTGCAATTTGGTTTCTAGAGCTTGGGGGACTGCCAGGCCATGAGGGGTCTTCCCAGGCAGGGTCGGCGCCTCTTGCCCACCCCGGCAGGGCTGTGCCGGGGCCGGAGCAGCCTCCGACTCCCACCGGGAACAGGGCTGGGGAGTCAGCGTCCCTGTACACCCAATATTCCAGCCCTTTCCTCTCCTCCCCCTGCACAACCTGCCTTTCTCCTGCAGCCCGGGTACTGCAGCCGGGACCGAAGCCCCCGAGGGATGCCAACGTGCCAGTTTAACCCCACAGTGGTGGTGGGTCAACAGCTCGTCCCAAGGTGCGGTATTTGGGATGGCGCCATGTAAAGGAGGCAAGGTTTGATGAGGTGACAGCCACCGAGCCCAGCTGTGACTGCTGCAGAGTTACTGTAGGGATTTTCCACTCTTCCCTCAGGAGCCCCAGCCCCTCTTTTCCTAGGAGACAAAACAATCCAATTGCCTTCTGGAATAAAAATGTAAAGAAAAATGAAAAAAAAAACCCCTATGCTTAAGGCAGAAGACCATCTTCCCCCTGCGAGTGCAAAGCAGAACTGTGGAGGAGAGGAGGGAGGAACATGGAGCTGGGACACAGCACGTAAGCAAAGTGGCTTTTGTGTTCCCAAGGGGAGCCAGGCCATGCCCCAGCGTGATGGCCCGTCGTCGGGGCCACAACCCCCCCAAAAGCCAGGGGTGCATCCTGGGGACACAGCAAGCAGTAGCAGCAGCAGCCTTGCAGCATGAGGCCAAATTCACTCGGGTGTTCAAAACACCGGCAAAGCTCAAAGGCTTTGTGCCGTCTCCCTTGCTCCGTGGAAGTAAAATCCCCAGGGATTGTTATCTCCCAAACCTGAACTGTGCTCTCCCTCCCTGCATCCCACACGGCTGCAGTGGCGAGCGCCGGAGAGGAAGCAGAAAAAGCAGCACAAGAAGCTATTAGGGAGGTAAGAGCAGCAGGACCCAGCTCTGCTTCACAGGACACTCTTCCCCCCCCCAATTTTCATGCTGAAGGCTGCTGCTGGTCGTCCCCATGCACCCTGTGTACCATTGGCTTTGGACAAACGGCAAAGACACTGACAAAACAAGGAGGGCTGGGAGCAGGGCGGGGAAAGGTGCAGGACGAGCAACAGCCGACTTTGAGAACGCGCCTGGATTTGAGAGGTAGGAGCTTATTTGATACCTACAGGCCACAGCCATGAGCACTGCAAATGCATTTCTTAAAAACATGGTGGCAACAGCATCGGTTCCCATTGATGGAGCAACTCCCGCTCCTGCTTACCAAGCCCGTAAAGCCCAAACCTGCCCCGCTGCCCCTCCAGGAGCGCTCACTCACAGCACTTGGCATTGCCTTCCCCAGGCAGAGGGACCTGGTGACATGGTCCCAAAGTCACGCAGGGAACTCCCACTGGAAAATAAACTCTGGATGCTGCAAATCCTAACCCCCGGCAACCTGAAAATCCCTGGAAGAGCAGGAAGGATGGAAAGCAGCAGGGAATTGGTGTGGAGAAGCGAGTTCAAAGGGAATCTCCAAAAGTGACCGGCCACACTGCGGCATCTCCTCCCCTTAGATGGGGCCATCTGCAAGGGTTTCAGGCAGACAAAAGCGGCTTCCACACCATCCTCAGAGCCGCACGCAACCACAACCTCTGACAACCTCTGCACCGAATTGCGAAGGAGAGCCCAACACCCGAAAGCCAGCGCTGCTCCGCGACAGAGCACAGACCTATCTCAGCTTCCACTTTCCATCCAGCTACATCCCAACAGCTAAAGCGCTGGATAAAAAAACCCCAGCTCCTTTTAACTCTGCTCTCCACGCTTCTGGGTTCTCACCCTGCTCTTCTCCCTCCAGGGGTGTTTCCAAGCCCCCATTAGCAAAGCCCACTCATGAAACGAAGCCGCCCTGGGACTGTCCCCGCTCCCCTTGCTCCCCTTGCGCAGGCTGTTCACAAGGGGCGACGGGACTATTTTCTCTCACCATCTGCTCTGCTTCGTTAGGTGCCTTTATTGGCCAGATGTTCTTATAGATGCGGAGCCACCCCAGCTTTAGCTCTCACTCTCAGAAGGAATCTGCATGCCTGACTTCTCAGAAATCTCTGGGAGGGAGGGAACAGGCAGACGCAGGGCTGGGGAGCTGGGAGCGTTTAAAAACCATGCCTCCAGGAATTCAGGCTCCTTTCCCCCGAGGGAGCATCTTCACTGCCAAAAGGGACAATGTTTTATTTTAGGAGATAACGTTTGCTAGCTGCAGCATGCCACCTCCCCTTTTTCTTATTTCTCCTGCCAGCAAAGACAGAGAAAAAGGGGGAGAGCAGAGCAGGGAGCAGAGCAGATGAACAGACTGAATTCTTGCTTCCCCTAAGGATTTGGGGTAAACTACAGAATAAGAACTGAATTACTCACACCTTGACCCTCCCCGCCAGGTTGGGAAGCGGGCAGTAGGATGGTGCAGCAGCAGGGTCCGTGCCCCGCTCTCCCCAGCCCAGCTGAGGAAGGCAGAGTGCTCCCAGGGACTGGCTCCCACTCCAAAACGTCTCTCTGTACTACTATTCCTTCCCTCTGAAAGGAGGGACTACCAGTAAACTCTGTTTCTTTTTGTAGAGAACCACTTGCTTAAGTAACAGCACTGGTTTATTTTGGATTGCCCCCCCTTGGTGCTGCTGCCCTCCTCTAAACACCCCTATGTATGTTTGGCTTCACTCGTCTCCCCCGCTCTCGCTGAAAACACCTACGCAACGTTTGGACACGGCAACAACCGCTGCAATGCAAATTAGGAAAGTGAAATATTATAAGGGGCTTTAATATCTCAGACTCCACTTCCATACAAACAGGAACCCTCCGTTTAAGTAAGAACAGACCTAACGGAGTTCAACAGGGGGAAACAGGTTCCTGGGCACTGAAAAGATGAACAGCACAAGTCCTGCTAGTCCAGCTGCCCTCCCGCCGGAGCTGCCAGGAGCAGCACCACAGCAGACACACCAGCTACTCCACCACGCACCGCACCGACAGAGCAGAGGCGTCTCCTGGCAGCTCTGTCCCAGTTTCTTTCTAAGTTGAGCGCATGTCAGAGAAGCGTAGGTAGTTACAGGTTTGCAGAGTTGCCCTTGGCCTGGCACAGGGTTCACCACCAGTGAGTTTTAATCTATTTCAAATTGAATTAAGAGAACTAAGTTTCCTTCTTCAGTTCCTCTGGGCAAGAGGCACAGCAGGCAAACTGAGAAAAACGCAACGTACCGGTCATGGGAGAAACAATGCTATTAGCTAATTAAAAAAACAATAACCACTGAACAGCAGCTAAGCAGGGATCCTTGCAATTCCGTCGCCCAAACTAGAGGCAAGTCACCAGGCAGACATGAGTGCGAGGATCCTACTTCAGGAGCTTCACCCTTCCCTTGCAGACCTAGCTGTGCACCATGGCTGCCGCCCGCCGTCCGGGCAGAGGGGGAGGCGGCAGTCCCGGGGACCTCGCCCACGCCGACCCGACCCAGCAGCAGCAGCAGCCCTGGCTGTGAGGTTCAGCTCCAGCTCCCCCTCGCCCGCCGGCACGGCTGCGAGAGAGCAGGGAGCGCACGGCACGCCAGGGGAAGGACAGCGGGACTCTGCGGGCCCCTGTTTCCTTTCCTGCGGGAGGAGAGACCAACAAGACCACTGAGTTAGCATCGCTCTCCCGACATAATTTGCTCGGCAATACGGCTGCCCTTTACCCAAGCCTACTTAATAATATCGTGCTTCCCAAACTGGGTTAGTGAGACGAGGCGAGGGACACGAGTGACAGCCAAGCCCCAGGGCAGCGTGCCGGGATACCGCCCGACAGAGGCTTTTTGCCAAACCAGAAGCCACGAGGAGACCTGTTCTCAGTTTCACCTTCCCCATCAGGTGGGCACAACACAGCCCTTCCATGCTCCCCGACAGCTCTCTAACACTCACCTCCCTGCCTTCTCCCACTTCACTCCTGCTGTGCTGGGCTGCAGGAGAACACCAGGAAAGCCCCCTGCTCCATACGGGATGCCCTCACACCATCTATTTAAGGATTATTAAGGCTTTGAAAAATCCTTTTTGATCTGGAGAATGAAATTCTGAAGCCTTTGTTCACCTAGCTTTTTGCACTGTTGGTAGGACCCAACACTCCTTTCAAAAGGGCCTTAGGATCATCTGCACTACTTTCACACAGCTGCATGGAAAGCTGGCGTTGAACCGGCACAAGGGACATGCCCAGAAGCAGCAGCAGCAACTCAAAAAATCAGAAAGAGAAACTTTGGTTTAAAATAAAACAAAACTGAAAAGAAAGAGAGAGAGAAAAGGTAAACACAGGTGCAAGTTGCCTCACGAGAGGGGTATTTGCAGGGCATAACCCCACAACCCTGGAGATCCAGATCTACATTCCCAGCTTTGTTTCACCGTTACAACCTTCATTGCACAGGACTCAAAAAATCACTCTCATATGGTTGTTAAGTTTCATAAATAATGTGAAAACTATATGCAACAGATACATCATATTTCCAAAAAATTATAAGAAAAGTTACATCAAATTAAAAAGTAGCTTCATGAATGAAGATACTGCTCTAAGTGCACTTTCCCTGCAAGTGCAGCCAGTGCCTCAGCGCTGGATATGAAGAAAAAAACAAAACAAAACAAAACAATCAGATTTAAAAACTTAAGTCCGGTTTCAACCAGTCAAAACCGGGCCAAGCAGAAACCAAGTGTGCTCTCAGCACTGTCCCATGAGGGAGTCCCTATGATGCTTCGTTATCCAGATAGGTTTGTATGTCCTTGTTGAGACTGTAAACAATCCTTCTTTCCTGAACTGTCCGCTTTATTGGCAAAACAAAGTAAAATATTTTATTTTTTTTTCTTTTAAAATAGAACATTAAAATTAACCCAGAAGAAAAGAAACGAAACACAGTGAGCTTGTTGGAGTCCATAGGATCTGGTCTGGAAGAGCTCGGAAAACGTGTTCAGTGTTTTCTCCTGTTTTCAGCTGGAACTGTACCAGAGATTGGGTTACTTGGGGAAGAGGGGAACAGAACGAGAAAACAAAGGATGCGGAATAAGAGCCCGTGGCCATCTCATGTGTTCGCTTCATTCGCTAGGTCCTCTATCAATACCTTAGTGTCACAAGCCTTGGACCTGGAAAAAAAACAAACAGAAAACACTCATCGGGGAGAAGAAATCCCCGCTACTACACGCAGACAGTAAAACCACAGTGCACCTGAAAAATCTTTCTTACACGGAGAGAGAATAAGCAGGCTACTGGAATTGTTTCACACTCTCCCACTCTCGCGGGGAATAGCAGACCCTTATAAATATGCCCCAGCTGTCCCTCAGCATCCTCCTCCTCCCCACGGCTCTGCCCACGCCACACCACGCCGGCCACCTTGCGCCCACGGACAATGCCGGCTGCCGGGCTGCGCTGACAAACGGCCAGGGACCCCTGTGGCACTGCTGGGCACAGCGCATCCATCCATCCACCCCTTCGCACAAAGCTCCATAAAACCCTTGCAGCAGGCCCTGCGAAGCCAAAGGAGTGTTCCTGCTCAATCCGTCACTGGGCTGCACAAAGGTACAGCAGCTTACTTTGGAATATGCTTGACACGCCTCAGTTCGCTGCATGCCTGAGGGTAAACGGATGTGGTTGTAGAGGATTCGACCAGGCTTTGGCCCACATCCCCTCTGCATGAAGTTTTTCAGCCTCTAGTGGCCACACGAAGACCGTTGGTGTCGGTCGCATCCGTGTACTCTGAGCCAACACGGGTACGAGACAAGCATGGCCCAAGGGCTGCGGGCTCAGGCCAGAGCACACCCTTTTCGTGACAGCCACAGCCTCCTTTTCCTCCCCCCATCCACCCCTCCCACGCCGTGATGCAAGAGGGGGATGAATGTGCTGCAGGGATTGCACAACACCCCTGACAGCCGTGCTTCAGCGTCCCCAGGGAGCCCAGGCTTGCCTCCTGGCCAAAGGGCAGGGCTCTGCAGCTGCGCTGCTGGGGGAGAAGTGATGCCTGGACACTGGAGCACCCTGTGATGCTCGGCACACAGGCACTGCAGTGAAGGTAAGCAGTCCACACGTTCAGGGCTGCGGTGCAAGGTGGGGACCATGTAAGGAGGAGGGGTGGACAGAAAAAAATGCATGGGTTTAGATTTGGGAGAAGAAAGGGTCTGAGATCTCACAAAGGAAATCTTAACCAAATGATAACTGAAATGTTGGAGTGGTCTGAAGCCTGGAAATGGCAGGTTGGTGGGAGCCTCTCTTCCGGGTTTGGATTTACAACCTCTGGCAACTGCCACAGGCTATTTTTTGCAGGAGAGGAGTTTTGTAAAGGGAACTCCCTTTTCCAGTGGTTTACCAGAACCCCAGGATGATGCAAAGGATGTATCAACCCTCCAGCAGAGAAATACTCATTTACTAATTGGACCCGTCCTCCCTTTGAACGACCATTTTGGCTGAGATCTTTGCATGATTACCCAGCCCATAAATGGCCACCAAGCATTCACAACAGCTCTAACACATGATTTGGTTTGTTGCGCTGGAGGAGAGGCAAAACATACTGTGAAGCAAGACGCGGTCTGCGCAAGGACACGCTCTGGCTGCGCTTCCACTGTTTGTTCTTGCGGCGGTTTCGTACACCATCTTCCTGGTCCATCATCTGATCCAAGAGCGTCAGGTCATCAGCGTTGAGCGGTGCCACAGAGATGTCCCTCACAGCACGGAACTCACCGCAGTTGTTCAGGTGCTCGTTCTCCAGACGGAAGAAGTTCCACACAAACCGCCTGGGCAGAGAGAAAGTGAAAATTACCAATTTGGTTCCACTTTTACAGCCATTGCCTGTGTTTGGCAAAGCACTGGTACATGCACCTATATATCAGTGATCAAAGTGCCTCTGGGAACACGCTGGGAGTACGGAGAAACAGCAAATGACTAACAGCAGCACCTGCTACAACATCTTCCCAGCCCTCTGGAGAAGAACAGATCTGTCAGGCTCATTTGTTGTCCTAACGATGACAGCCCTAGTATGGACAGCATGGAGGCACCAGGTGTTACAAGTGAAACACAACCTCCACCATCTGCACGAGTGAGGTTCAGGTTCAAGCGTTTTTACTGATGTTGAGAAATTGTGAGTGTAGGTCTCCAGCTAGAGTACAAGTGTGTAAAGAGCCCTGAAACCTCGCAGGATCTAAACTAGCGTTTGGAAAAGCAGCAGAGATTTGAGAATAATTGTAAGTCTGAGAATCAAGTGAAATTTCATCTGGAAATTGCAACAAGATAATTTTAAGGAGAAATTTAGTAATAAAAAAACTCCTTAAGATTACGTCTAGGTTCAGAAGAAACTGCAAATGCAGTGTGAAGGACCCAGCCCAGCACTGCTGCAGAGCCCTCTTCACTCAGCACCCTATTCGGATTAGATGTTCCTGTTAGACCTAGTCTTCCATTTCAAGGAACGGTACTTTCCATGTCCAAAGAGCAAGGCAATTCCCACTGCGCTGACATTATACAAGTAATAAAAATGTAAAAGAGAAATGAACTGTTCAGTCAAGCAGCCTTACCGGAATACCTCAAGTGGGGCAAATACAGTAGAAATTATGTCCCCGGCATACGGAAAGATTTGCATGGAAGTGAGGGAGATCTGGATGGTCCACGCAAAACGCAGGATCACGTCTTCTACAATGGCACAATAGTAGTATGCCTGAAGAACAAGAGAGACAAACCAGACAGCTCATTGTATGCGCTCTGCACAGAAGACAGAGCTCTTCAGGCCTTCAGGAAGACACAGAATTTGCTGTTCAACCACTAGAAAACTGAACAGTGTGAAATGATCTCTGAAACAAATGAACTCTACTGCTAGAAAATCCAGCACATAGCATTCAGGAAGCACCAGTGGTCAACTGCAACATGCTCTAAACTCAGCAAGTTTTGTCAAAATATCAAAAGCCTTTCCTAATGTAAGAGCAGGCTGTATACGCACTTTCTGTGGGTAGACAATTCCTTCTCGAAGAAAGGTATTTTCACCAGCATTTTTGTCAAAGAGACCCCAGTCCATCTTCAGGTCCCAAATAAGGGTATAGCAAGAGCTGATGAAATAGAAGATAATCCACAGGTAGAAGAACACTTGGGTGTCACTGTGGTTTTTAGCTGGAAAAGAGAAGAACAGCATATTTCTGTACAACTTAAAGCTTCTTAAAACAGCTACAAATTGGCTGACTTGATCAGCCAAAATAACACCCCATTTATTCAAGCTCTGGGAAAATCAGGCTAGCTCTTCGGAACCAAACCAAAAGCCCTACCAGGACCAGTTTTATATTGTCATTTAAATTCCACTTCCACCTTGTTCAGCGTTTTGCAGTTGGGATTGGAATTTGCACTAGTGTTTTCATCTTCTTGAAACTTGTGGTAGACCTGCCATTCTAACTCTGAACAGCAGGTGGAAGCTGAGGGCCATTTTTCACAACAGACACCGGCTTGTACAAAGGAAAAAGCGATGAGGCAGTGCTCAGTTAGGAGGTTTTTGTAAGAGAATATTTTAGTTTGTCTAAATATAAACCACTGTGAATTAGTGCCCTAAAAGCCTGAAAGAGGACGGGCAGTACAGGAATTTCCACTAGCCGTTTCAGAGCTTGCAGTGGCAGGGGAAAATAAGCAAAAAGAAGGCAATACATTAACATGTACGTACAAATCCTGAAGAAGGCTCAGTATAGAGTTTTAAATGCCCATACAGAGCATTTTGTTTGAGAAACACAGGCCTGTGGGACCAAAGCCCGCTCACTTGCGGCTATGTTTTTGCAACTAAGTTGTTTCCCATTCTCCCCTTTTTAGCTAGGAAAAAACAAACAGATCCGATAACTCTGTTTGCTTTTAATTAGCAAATCTGGGTCATAAAGGTCATAAAAATAAAACACATTATAATGCTTTGCAAGGCTGAGACACTTTGCATCTCCCTGCTGTCAGGAGTCCTTCCTCCTTTCTGTGCAGCCACTGTAATTGCTCATTCACTGATTCTTTTTAACAAAGCCAGTAACACTTCTAGTACAAAAAAGCAATGATGTTTCCAGTCCAAACCCCATGCCACGCTCAGTGACAGCACTGTTTTCCATGTATGTGGCTTTAAAACAACAGAATCCTTGAAGCTGATCACAGAGGGAGCAACAGGGCAATTTGCTCTCTCCTTCCCTTATTATTTCTAACATTTGAGACATAAATGTAATGCAGCAATCCGATAAAATTAATGGAGGTGAAAATGAGAGGCATCATGTAAGAGTACATTCCTCCCATTACTCCCTTCAGGCTTCCTGGACATGATGTGCAGGATATAGGTCAAATACACATACTCATTCTCCTTTCAAAACACACCCCCTAAAGCAAACCTATTAAAGCCACTTACGCAGCAAAGCCTAACTGCAGTGAAGCTTCACATCGGTGGAGGAAAAGGACACGCGATCTGCTGCAGCTCTCCGGTTTGACTAGCTTCCCTGCTTTTGTGCAAGGTTAGAAGCCTTTGAGCAGCAACCCGCATCCTCCCGAGGCTTAAGCTTTACCCAGGGACAGGTCTGGCATTGCATCACCCGCCACTGCCGTTGTAGAGAGCCATGACGTCACCCGGGAGCAGGCACACAAGTCCTGCAGAATACAGGCTCTGATGCCCAGGTACATTAATCCTGCTGCTTTGAAACCACCTCTCCCAGCCATTTTTAAAGTGCAGCTGCCCACAAAACAGGACACAGGTAAGGTTTTTGGAGCTTAGCAATTAGGGCTCTACTGCAAGATTTCCTTCTCCCCCACCAGCTCCTCTGAAGCCTCCACTGCATTATTTCAGGAAGAAAAGGCAGATGCTGACATTCAGTGACTCAGAGACACTAAGCCTGTTCTTTCCAACATTATTTTTAGCTCATTAGATCTCCATGTGTAGTTCTCACTACCAGATCTTAAACAATAATTCAGAGGTAGTTAATGAGTTAAGTGCTTTCAAAGCATCTAAAATGCTCCAAACTACCCTGTGAGGCTGCAGGCTTCCTATCAGTAGCTTAGACTTGAAGGTTAGGTCATGCTGCTTTTTTTTCTTCCTTAAGGACAGAATTCAAATAAACTGCATGTTACTCCCCATCTTCATGGAGCAGACGTGGAGAAGGCAGTGCAGACAGTACCATCCACTGCCGTGCCTTCAGCCACAAGCCTGGCACGAGCCATGCCCCGCAGAGAAGCGGCACTGCTGGGTGCTCCTTCAGAGTTCTCTGGTCATGGAAGGGACAGCCTGGCCCCAGACTATCATCTCAAACTATGTACGAGGCTAACAAAACTGTATCCTAAGTTGGCAATTACATAGGAAGGTGGTTTCAAAGGTTCATCCTGCTTAAACTTAAATTGCCTTAAAGGTTATTGTGTGCAATTACCAAATGGAGGAGTACCAGGAAGAAAAAGACCCAAGTCAGAAATCTTGTGGCATTAACCTCATCAGCCTCAAAAGGTTGTGCTTACTTCTAGTTATCGTGGCCTCAGCTCCCTTTCCCTGCCCCTATCTTTGCAGCAGTCTTTTCAGTGGCACCTGGGGTCACGCTGCTTGGCCCTTGCTCCTGCTTGCTTTCTCACCGACCGGCTCTGTAATGCCTTCAGCTCCTGAAAAATTTCATTAAAAAAACCAAATCACTCCCTGGCAAAACGCTCTAATCAGAACTAGCCTATTGTCTTCAGCCTTGGCCTTTGAGTCCCTTCCTTTAATCACTTATCCTCCTTTTCCTCCTGCCTGCAATTCTGTTTGATACCTTCCTTCCTTCTGCCCTCATTGGTATTCAGCTGGTGTACAGAAATATGTTACTGCTCTAGGCAAGCAATTATATCTCAATCTCCACTGGCTGGTCCTAGTGGCCCTCTTCACGGCTGCTCAGGGGGCTAGAAAATCAAGGCATTCATATTCTGCCCAGAGGCTCCATCTACTCCTCACCTGCCAGTTTTTCAGTAGCAGTACATAGCTGTGCATATGTATGATGATGTCAGGGTCTATTTAAGCAGGAACTGTTTCATCCTGTGTTTTTTCTTTGTTTAACGTCCTAGAAACCACCAAAACCCATTAGAGAACGATAGTCTCAGGATGAGAGAAGCACTCTGGACACCTGGTTAGATCTCCACCTCTCTAAGAGGGAAAAAAGACCAAGCCTTCAACATCCCATGGGCTGCAGCGACCCTTTGACAGCACAACTGCCAGTCCACCCAGCAAGAGGTAGATGAAGGACCTTCCTATTCAATGCTCCAAAGGGCACCACCATGTCACAACTTCCTAAGCTGCAGTTATTCAAAACAGCACGTGCAGGACAAAAACGCAGACAGCACAAAACTCGACATGTAAAGTTGCAGGTGCAGCTTTACCCTCCCTGCCAATGGGCAGATTTCAATCCCATACAGGTTCACGTTAGCATGTCTACCACATGGAGGTGTTCAGCTATGTCAGAGGCCATTGGAGTTTGCAGCGCCCTGCTATCTCCACGTGCTGTGAAGTCGACGGGAAGCAGTGTACCATGGGGGCTGCTTGCAACCTTCACCACAGAATTTCCATTAGCATCCTCAGTTTACCCTATAAAAGGCAATTCCAGTAGATGCTCTGCAGAAATACACCTACAAATTGCCCCAGAAGGTCAACTAGATAAATAATGGAAGGCTTCCATCTTTGAACTGAAGCTGTGAATGGCCACAGTCCCAGAAAACAGCCAAAGGCACTTGCAGCAGAAGAATTTACTGTCTGCAAAAATTGCTGATAGACAATATCTTGGATCCCAAACCCAGCCCCCAGGGGACCCAATATTTGACTAGCATTCTGAGAGAATAACACTCTGCAGAAATTATAGCCCCTTCTAAACACAGGCAAGAGAAAGGTTGCTTTCCATCAAAGATAGACAGCAAATACTATCCTGAACGCTGTTAATATTGACTTTACTTCCAAAGAATACTATCTGTTTACCCTGCTGAATTATTCTGGGGAATGTAAACACTATACAGTATTCAACACAGTGAAAATCAATGCCATGTATTATTGAAAATCTGGATAAGAGCACAATGGCCCTTGATAAGCACTGCAGCTGGCCGTGGTTTCTGCTGGTGGTGAAAGCTGTGATACAAGCTGTAAGAAGCATGAGGTTATCAGGAAACACAGTCAGGTAAGTCCGGCTACGAGACAAAACTGACCCAGCCTAAGAAGTTCTGCCCCCGGCATCCATTAAAAGCCTCTCGATTGAGGCATGCCAAATTCAGTCTCCTCTGACAACCAGCCTTTCAATCACAGATTTAAGCAGAACCAAAACAAAACAAAAAAATACATATTCACAGTGTGCTAGCCAAGCACAGATACCAGAGAACTGAGCATATCCCTTCTGCCACCCGGTTAAGCCCAGGGATGACACGTGCCCATTAACTCCATCCCAGCACACGACGGGAGGGGGGTGACAGCCAGAAGTGACTTATCCAGATAAGAGCTGCCATCAGAACGACATCCCAAAGCATCTGTCTAACACCTTGCTGCTTGAAGTGCAGTATTACCGCTCCCTCAGTAATTATACACCCTAATGAGGGAATAGCAGCAGCGTTGCCTTTCTGCCCAGCCAGCACGTACCGCTATTTAACACTGATCAATGGCAGAGCCATGACATGACAGTGGACTTAATGCAGTAAAAAGGCAAATAACCCAGAGGAGCACACCGAGGACTCGCTATCGTGCGTTGACGGGCTTTGTCAAATACCAACCATTTCATACGAACATCCTTCCCGTTCGATCCTGCAAACCTCTGCTGTAGCCTCCGGGCACAATTTAAAGCAAAGCAGCAAGATGCAGCGCAGTGAAGAACTGTCAGGGGGCAACATCTTGTTTCTTCTTCAAGTTAGATTCTACATTTGTAAAGCAGGGAAATCCCCAAATCGTGTTTTGACTAAAAATACTCCGCAGGTTTGCATTGGGTTTGTAGGACGATACAACAGTGCCTAATTTCAAGCCACCGCAGCAATCTCATTGCTTGTATCTCACAAACAGAAGGATGTGATTTAATTGCAAACAGGAGGAAGCTATCAGTCATGATCGAGATTTGATCTGATTCTTCTTCTGGTGGCTTCTCTAGTATTTGAGAAGTGTTCTTGGGGGACATTTAAGTGCTACCTTG